TTCGCTGATGACACAGGCATTTCCGCTAAAGGAAGAAGTCTTCGTGTTATTTGCAGCTGACTGCAGAAAAGTTTAGATATTTTCTCTTCTTACTTACAAAAAAGGAAGATTTCTCCCAACGCTTCCAAAACTCAACTTATAATATTCCAACGTAAGCCTAGAGCTTCCGTTTTGAAACCTAGTAGTAGTCACATAGTCGCTATGAACGGAGTTCCAATTTCCTGGTCAAACCAAGTGAAATATCTTGGATTAATACTTGACCAAAAATTAACTTTTAAAGATCACATTGAGGGCATTCAAGCCAAATGTAACAAATATTTAAAATGTTTGTATCCTCTTATAAACAGAAAATCCAAACTTTGCCTGACGAATAAACTTCTAATATTTAAACAAGTTTTTAGACCGGCCATGCTTTACGCTGTGCCAATATGGTCTAGTTGTTGCACTACCAGGAAAAAAGCACTTCAAAGGATTCAGAACAAAGTTCTGAAGATGATTTTGAAGTTGCCTCCCTGGTACAGTACTACTGAAGTACATAGAATTTCGAATGTTGAGACTTTACCACAAATGTCCAACAAAATAATTAATAATTTCCGGCAAAAATCGTTACAATCCTCAATTGCAACGATTAATTCCCTTTATACTTAGATAAGATTTAGTTTTAGTGTTAAGTTTTAAGATATCAATTGTTATACTGACATGCAGGTTTAAAAAAAACCTGTTTAAAATACTGAATTGCCAAGACAGGAACAATGTAAAAACATTTAGATATATATCATAACAATTAAGGCTGGTAAGTTACTGTAGTAACTGGAGTACCTAGGTTAAAAATGAAATGTAATTTATTTTAAATTTGAAACAAATAAAGAGTTAAAAAAAAAAAAAAGACATTGCTTCACCCTGCACCAACAAACCATCAGGCAGAAATAGGTAATCCATGCACTGATGGTGGGTACCTTTCACATCACATCACCTTGTACTTAAAGACAAGATTGACGAAATCATTTTACATACAATCTCTTTTGTCAATTCGCATTTTCTTGGTCCCTGGCGAACTACTCGGGAAGCACAACACCCAAAATAATGTTTTTGTCTGGCACGATTTGTTTTTTTCCTAAAAATATTGAAAAAAAAGCTATTCAAAATCTAAAAAATTCAGTTCGTTCTTAGATTCTTGGTAACAGTAACGTGTAAACATTTTTTTTTCTATTTCATCATGAACAAAAGTTGGACTCTAAACAATACCGAAAAGATGATTTTACGGTTTTTTAAGTCCAATTTTTGCCATGATGACATAAGAAAAATGTTTTTGCAATTCCGCATCATAATGGATTAGGTTTTCTAACTGAAAGCGTGCGGAGAAGACCAACCGAGAGCTTGAAAATATGTGACGGTCATATTTCATAACCTATACTTGATCATACACATGGACGTTCAGTTAATCTAGAAACTGCGTTCTATACAGATAGAAATACTTAAAACAGAAAGGGGATTTTTTTTAAATTCTAAAAAAAAATTGTATGCAACTCGTTGCAAAACTTGTTTTTTTAGCACTCGTCGTAATTATTCAACTGGCAAACCTCGTTGCATAAATAACTATTGTACACGTAAATTATCTTAAGGGGGGAAGTACAATTAGAATTTTTTTTTTCGAAAAATTTTTTGTTGGCTTGATTTACTCTATATGTATCTGGGAATGAGCCTTTAAAAGCATAAAGCCGTCCGGAACTTATTTAAAAAGTTATACGCAATTCAGTGAGTGCATGTCAAATGGCTGAACATGTCAAAGTTGAACTTTAAATGCTTCTACTGAAAAGTAGTGTTTTCAAAATCGCCGTGCAATGTACAGGTCAGAGTTTTCATTCAAATCGATTCCGGTTTTCTGTTTTATGTTCATAATTAAATTCTCCACAACATGAATAGAAAGATTTTTTAGATTTGTTTGTTATAACATGTTTTTTTATAAACAAAGTCGAAAAAAATAGGGTTTTTAAATTTTTTTTTTCAACTTCAAATTTTTTTGTGAAAAAAAATTTTTTTTTTTAGATACGAATTAATTCATGTTGTGCGCTGTACCTTCAAATTTAATGTCCTGTTTTTTTTAATTCAGACGTGATCATGGACGTAGGGACTGCACGGCGCAAAGTGCTGCTTTAAAAAATTGACTTCACATTATTTATAATAATTGGGCTAAATTGCAAAATTTTAAAAAAATGTCACTGATAATTAATCTTCATTAAATCCTTAATAACATACATAAAGAATCGCTAACATTCATTTATTTCCCTACTCGCAATCCACTCTCAAAGATAGGCCTCATTTTAGGCCTTCTAATTGTACTTCCCCCCTTAAGAATTGGAGGAAAATAACTGTTTAATGTTAGATATCTTTTCGAATATTTTTAGAAAAATCAAAGCGTAATTATTTTTACGAGCGGTAAGCTTCCCGTTAATTTACGAAGTTCAAAATGTATCTAATTGTTTGCTGTAGAGAAGCAAGTACCGAGTTTAATTTTTAGATCTGCACGACTTCTGGGTGCTGAGTTATCTCGAAATGGAACTATCGTCAATCTTGTCCTTAACGCCTCTTCGATATTGGAGATATGGAAAACATTCCACAGGTCAAGAAACCATTTGACTCAAGATTTATATGTCAAATAGGGCGTATGTGTTTCTCATTTTTTTTTCAAAAAAATCATAACTCGAAAAACGTTGATTGCCCTAACGAACGATTTTTTTTATTTTTCTTAAAGGTTTAAAGTTGTAAGAAAAATAATAATACGATATATTTGAAAAATCGTTTTGGCAGCATTTGTTTTTTTTTCACTCAACTATCATTTTTTTTATAAGTTAGTCGTGGTTCTCCATCTACAACGATGCATTTTTTCAAAGTTTACATAAAATTCCCTACAATTAACCTTTTGACACCAAGAACACTGTTTTTAAGCCACGGGTGAATTCAAGCGGTAAACGATAAAATATTATTGTCAATGTCAGGAATTACGACATGATTTGCCGTTTTTATGTTCAGCTCACCGCCGTCACAAAAAAATGGTAGGGTATGATGATATCAGTAACAACATGTCAGAAGATCCTAACTCTAAACGTAAAAATTACATCAAACGATGTATTTAAGCGAATATTATCATCAAAAAACTGCAATACTCCTTCTGACCTATGAACTACAAGACAAACGCAATAATAATGTGGTCATTCCAATAACTTATTGGAACGTTTACAGGTACCAGCCTTAAATATCAATCCCACATTGGAATAATCTTAGTCAATGTATTAGAATCCACGTGTGTAGTTCATCTGGACATACCTTAATCCAGAATCAATGGTCGCTATGAGAGCTAAACAACACAAATATATTCACTTGAATCGGCCTGTGTTAATCGAAGAAAAATTGAACTTCTAGCAAGCGCAAAAATTATAATGGAGATAACCACACAATAGTATACTTCGGTCACAATAATTCGATCATCAAGTTGACTAAAATTAATTTCTTAAAACTAATCACAACTGATCTGTGACAAGTATGCTATACTGGGGCAAGTAGCTCTAGAAAACAAAAATATACAGATATAACAGTTGATAGAGGATAAAACAAACAAAAAAAGATTGGAAAAGTGGAAACAAGTGGCTTTTAGTGACCTGCTAGAAAAAGAAACTGACAAGCTACCGTAGAACCCCGTTAGTTTGAAAAGCTAACATTGCAATCAACCGGACGCCATTGGACACATCTGTACCAGTTGAACAAATTCTAAATGCGCGCCGTTTAATAGCCATTTTAGCTATTCAAACTAACGGGATTCTATGCTATTTACTTTAAAGAGACTTGGTTCCTCGAAATAAGCAAAATGCAGCTTGAATAATTTTCATCGAACATGGCTATTGAAACAAAGAAGTTTAGTGATTTTTGGCAGGCTTGCGATAAACCTGTTAAATAGTCAATTTATCTGCTTTTAATCAAGAGCTGCGTTATTCCTGTATTGGACTATTCCGGTTACTAAACCTTATGATGCGGTTTCGTCACCTAAAATCTCGCATGAATATTCAGGGTAGTGTACGGTTTGTGGTAGGTAGTAGCATTCGGCCCAATGAGTGGGAGTGGGTGTATCAGTTAGTGATATACCAATGTAGTACGCTGAGCCCTATAAAATGTTGATTTATTATATATGTAGGAAGCTATTAAATGGCCCTGACCTTCTCTATCGCACTAACCATTGGGACAGAACCTTTATCAGTCTTACCTTTTACCGTCGGCGGCAATTTTGATATTGTGATATATTAATTCGACCGAACTAGTAAACTATCGTAATCCAGAAGCTATGCTACACAGCTGGGCAACGAAAGAAACACCTTTTCGAGCGTTCATCAAACTGTTTTCAAGGAAAATCTTCCTGAAATTTATGCTCCCACTTTTCCGAGTAGCTTCAAGGCGAATCGCATTCTTCTTTTACTGCAAATACACCGTGTACGATTTCGAAGGGTCACACCTCCGGGAAAACCAGCGTTGGCGAGCAGGATTTCTTCACTTTATAAGTAATATTGGAAGAACTGCTGATCCCGCACTTGAAGCACGTAGATTTATATTACAAATTTACATTATTATTCTCTATTAGCCAATTTAAATGGAAGCGAAAATGCCGATAGATGCTCGCAGGATAAAATACACTCACTCGACATATACGTATACAATCACAAACTCTACCGAGAACGGTAAGATATTAAGGATCTGTGAGAGAACCCGTATCTAGCATATTTAAAGAGCAAGAGAGAAGTTATACAGCCCTTCATCGCCTTGACATGTTTGCATGCTTGTGTCGAATAACAATACCTATTCACTTAATCGAGTTTGAATCTGCTCGAATAGCTAGCTCGATTTTGATTAACCTTGCACGCAATGTTGCATACATTGCTTAAACATTATCTTCTTCAAAATAGCGGTGAAGGTTTGGAACTTTCTTTCAGTAATAAGGTAACAATTGTAAAGCATTTTTAATGTTAATATGAAATTTATTGCTTTCAGCTCTAACACTCAAAATAATCAAACATTTGGCAAAAATAACTATCATTAATATAATGACTTTTTCAGAGGTTTCATACTGAACTGGTCACATTCAATTAAAGCGAAGCAATGTGTCATTTCCCCGCGTCTGATAACTAATTTTGAGAACTGTTTCATTCTAGCATTGCATTTATTTTCAGCGGTAGTTTACAAAAAAAAACCAATAATTTCTACAATATTTAAAAAAAAAACATAAATAAAATTTAATAAAACCTATCATAGACTAAATTTAGCAAACTGTTCAAGATTCAAACAAACTTATTGAAAGAAGAGCAAACTAAACCAAGATGGCTATTATTTGTTTTTATTAAAAGTGAGTAAAATTTGTTCATGTCAGCTACTTAAAGAATTAGGAACTTTTAAAAACAATGTGCTACGGTCTCCGTTAAGGTAGGCACCATAAAAGATAAAATAAGAAGAAACCAGCAACTAATCTTTTTTGCTTCATTCGAAATCAAATCCTAGAAACAAACTGCACCACAGCTTATGTTGAGGTGTGGTTCGATTTTTTTCGTTCGCTTCGATAGCACGGATGAAAGCACTGTCCTGATCATCCAATTTTGTGATTTTATGCATGGGTTGATTGCACGTAGACATGTGTCCGTTTGTTTTGTCCACTGCTAAAGTGCTGAACGCACAACGACAACGGTCGACAATAAATTTTAGCATAAAACGTCGATGGTTTTCGAAAGCTTGCGATTCGCCATATACTGACTGCAATTCGTCGCAAAATCTCAAATCGTAGGCCGCTAAATTAAGGCAAAATAAGAACGATCGTAGCTTTAACTGATTTAGTTTTTCTCTACTAGCAGTCGGAACGAGCCATCGGAGTAATTCGTCTGTATTTTCGACAGTTGTGTTTCCAAGAAAACCAGTGTATTGCATGAGCTCGTTAAAGTCATCTCCATCGTGTTCATCGAAATACGACGATTCGTACATTTTCGCCAGGACAAACTGCCGGTGATTGAAGCAGCTGTAGTCGTGGATGTGCTTTCGAATAAACTTTTCCGTTTTGTAAACTTCAAACTTCAGTAGCTGCGGAGCCTTCATGATGACCCACTGGCGATGGCACCAGGCATGGTAATTGGTAGTGCTTTTGTCTGCACATTTTTCGCATAGCCCAATTTCGAAAGACCAATCGATAGCATCGTAGCCTAAAAACATAATTAGAAGTAGATATTATTAAGGTACGGCAGGGCAAATGGAAATGCTATTCTATAGTTGGTCTGTAACGTTTACTGTAGCGTTGATCAATTCAGCCGTTTAGTAGATGTAAATGTGCACTCAAAATAATCGACACGTTATTGTTACGTGAAAAATCAGGAGGAGCCACTTTTATGATAAATTTACGTGACAGAAGTAGAGTCTACGTGATACCCCATATGTATCAACAGGAAGTCCCTTTAAAGTCACTAGGTTTTTTAATGAAACGCACGAGATTTGCACATACTCAAATTCTATGTGCATTTCACGTAAACCCTAAGTGATTTTCACTTATGAAAAAATAAATACAATAAAGATACAATGGTCAAGAAATACTGTAGGATCTTTTTTCATTTGAAATCAAGAAAAACAATTAATTTAAACCTTAATAAAAATCATTGAAAACCACCACTCAGACCCTGATAAAAATTACATATGTGGACTAAACATTCTTCACTGGAAATTTCAAGTCAGCAACTTATACCCTACTGTTATACAATTCATAGGGGGATCCAATCTAATAATTTTTTAATAACTAATATTAATTTGGGTATATGTTCGGTTTGCGGGAGAATTTTAATATTTTATATGTGAAAATATATGGGAATTTCGGACTTAGATAACCCAGATAAATGTGAACGTTGTTTTTTTTTTTTTGGTATTTAACTGACAATGCAGTTATTTTTTCTTAGTAAATACCGTGTAAGCCAGTTAAAAAAGTTTTGTTTGTGTTGGGAGAGAAATGCTCATTTCAATTAAATAATTATTAATTGCACAGAAAAAAACACGTTTGGTGAATTATATTTTTCAGCAGTTAAGGATTTGCACTGATGGATAGTGATATTCTTCCAGGAAATAAACACCATCAGTGTTGTCTTCGCATAATTTCCCACACACTTTAAGGGCAGGGGTTTCAATATTTACTGTTGGGATCGTAACCTTGAAAAAGGATTATTAAAAATTATAGCAAGTTATTCAATATCAACGACGAGCTTACTTCAATATTGTAACAAGTGTAAGCGTTGCGTCCAAGATTGGTGAGATTAATCGCGTGTAGTTTTCGTATATTTAGTTATTAAATTCTAAGAAAATGTTTAAATGTTCGTAAAAGGTAAAACGTCCCAGAATCCTCACGAACGCAGCCAGTAGGAGACACTTCCCTATAAACTGTAGAACAATGCCACTAGCCACCACCAGAGCACGCTGTGTGTAATCATGAATGGACGTCCATAGGGGTGGCGTAATCGGGCTATTGCGTGGAGAATTCGTGGCACGTACGACGGTTCAACGGTCACGGTTCGGGGTCATCGTCCACCAAGAGGCACAGTCAGAAGCCTGGTGATCATTATAGACTACGGTCACATAGCGTTTGATAGCGTTAATAGTTTGAAGGTGAAAACTAAGTGCTAAAGTGAGCTAAGTTGGAAGTTGAAGTTGAAGAAGTTGTAGAGGAAGCTGCCACATACCATTGGACAGCCAGGTAATTACCATCGCCAAGAAAACCCCGAACCAATCCAACCGTTGTCAGGTCGATAACCGCCATTTCGAATTCTCCTTCGCGCCCACAGGACCTCGCGGTTTTACCGTAACGCCAGTGAACCCAACGAATTTTCCGGAGTCGACCACGCCAATCGCCGATAGTGTGTCCGAATCGCAGTTCCAGAATCTGATCCCTCAGCTACAGTGTGCGCAACCAATCCAGGCAAGTCAACTTACCCTTGTGGTTCGTTGAAACCTCGAGTCCGTCACCATACTCGAGGGGCGCACGGGACAGGTAGAGGCGTCCACCCCTGGCCCAAGAAGGTGATGCGGTACCAGAGGAAGGAGAGGAACGACGACGGCAGTGGCAGGTGAAGGGGCCCCGAAGACAAAGAAGAGTAGTGCTAGCACAAGGTAGGAGTAGAAACCTAAGGAAGTGGGAGACCGTCCGTGAAGTGAGTGTCGTCAAAACGAATAAAGTGAGAGTTTATCTTAAGTGAACTTTGAGTGTTTTCTTGGTTCGCGGAATAATCACGAGCGTGTGCCGATCCTGAGGCTTGGAGACGGGGGTCTCATCAGTGCTGGGAGTAACACCGCACTGGCACGTTACAATATATAACATGATATAACATACTTTTCTCAAATGTTTACTGAAAAAAAATTACGAAAACAAAAACCAGGGCTGTGGAGTCGGGTTGGAGGCGGCGGCATTTTTGGTAGGTTCCGGGCTCGGAGTTACTGTCAATGGTGTTTTATCGGTGTAATATAAAGAATACCTTTGATTTGGACATCAGATACCTCGAAAATCCCTCCGACTCCGACTCGACTCCACTGCCGTGGAAAAAAATACTTGCTTCTGAATTTTCACTAAAGCTAAAATAGCGATTGCAAAAAATGACAGCTTAAAATTTTATAATTCATGGTCAGCAAAATACGATGAGTATTTTGACAAATGTCCAGGAAAAATCTATGATTACTTTGTTTACAGTAATTATAATTACTGACTTTTCGTACAACACAGAAAATTTAGAACTTTATGTCTTTCTCAGTAATTATAAATTCTGTGCTCAGTATTTTTCAATAAAAGTTACCGAAGTTCAGTTTGTATTTGCTGAATGTCAGTAATTCCGCTAATTTGAACTGAATATTCAGTAAAAGATTTGATTTACGGTTCAAGCCCAGTTGAAAAAAATACCCAACAATGCTGGATTAGTGTTGATTAGTGTATTGGAAAAATATAAATTTGGGAAATATCACAATACACTACAAAAGATTTGGACAATTTTTTCGCAGCTATTCGCATAAGAGTCCCATGTCCTATAGATTTCCTATTTACATAGGACTGTTATGCGAATAGCGGCAGTATACGAATAAAACAATTCTAAGCCGTTAATCCAAGTGATCCGTTTTGCCCATCTCTAGTTGATTACCCGATATTTCCTAAGGTTACTCGTACCCAGGTGGCATCGCGGGGAGGTTGCAAAAGGAGTAGAGTTGCCTAACAAGATGCTAAGAACCACTAATTGAATTCTATTTTACCTGCATGCAGATACATGTGGTAAATGATACGCATTGTCCAGCAGCCGTTTGCTAGCCATCAAGTTCACCATAAGGAAAATAAAAAAAGAGCAGACTTGGGAAGTGTACCGAGGCTGTACCCTACAGTTTCTGTCACGGTGCACTTAAATGTGTTTTTTTTTTGTTTTCATGAATCCGATGTTTATTCTACTGATAAATGTTCAAGAACCAGCGTGACGAAAAAATTAGAACATTTAACCTAAGGGACTGTTCATCAACTACGTAGATAGTTTTTTGTGATTCTAGACCCACCATCCCTATGTAGACTTTTGTCCATACAAAATTATTAAAATTTATATGGACCGTAGACAATCGCCAACTCCCCGGACCCTGAATTTTCTACGTAGTTTATTAACAGCCCCTAACCCATGTTTGGACAAAGCATGATGAACCACTCGGTTTCGTGAACCAGCACGGTTCAGCACGGTTTTTTAGACATGGTTCGAGTAAGGCTTCGAGCACAAATTACGTAACACATGGAGGGGGTAGGAGGGTTAGAGCTCACATTACTTATTGTTACATAGGGGGAGGAGGGAGTAACAGATTGACCAAACTGAAAAAAAAATCAAAAACAAAAAAAAAATTGTTAAATAAATGCACGCGACCCTTGTATCTAGATCATAATAAAAACATTTCACACTGTTATTGACATTGTTTATTCAATCTTGAAAAAAAGAGAGGCGAGTAAGTTAGTGTTACTTAATTTTAGGGAAGGGGAGAGGGTGTCTTATCAAGCGTTGCTTATTTTTGCATAGGGGAAAAAAGGGATACAAAATCCGGATTTTTGCGTTACGTAATTTGTGTACAGCGTTTAAATAGTTCTAATTTGTTAGTCAAGTTAATTCTTGAACATTTATCAATCTAGTAAACATAGGATTCATAAATAAAATATTTATTTTAATGAACTATGACGAAAATTGTCGCGCGCAATCCTCGGTTCACTACCCAAGCCTAAAAAAGAGTATACACCGTCGAACGTGTACCAAGCTGAGGGGTTGTAAGAAAAAAAGGTTGAAGAACAGAAAGTCGAAAGACAAAAAGTCGAAGGACAAAATGTCGAAATGGATCAAATGTCGAATGGACAAACCCGAATGAAATTAAAATAGACAAAAGGTCGAATGTTCAAAAAGGTGAAATGGATAAAAAGTAGAAAATTTTAAAAGGTCAAAAATGTTGAAAGATCAAATTACTTTTAGTGGATCAAAAAATAAAAGAATAAAAGGTTGGAAACACAATATGTAAAGTAAAGCAAGTAAATCAAGCCTAGACTTATTTATAATTATTTCGATCTTTTGTCGGCTATAACCCATTTGGCATACATATTGAAACACTTTATTTAAACCGATAAATTCATAATTTGCCATCTGGGCTGCACTTCAACGGAATATGAAATAACAGCTCATGATCAAAAGAAGGGAACTTTCAGATCTTTGGTCTATGTTCCGCAATCAAGTGCCAATCACCGATGAGAGTCGATTGCCAATTGGTAATTAATAACTAACGGCAATCGAATGCCAGTAAGGCGACTTCCACACGTGAAATGCTGAAACCAATCAAACTCATCAACACTTGGACCGGTACCAACGGCGTTACTTCCCTTCCGAAGGAGAAGGTGACCAGAGATTTTTTGCCTCATACTGCAGTTGGAATTGAACTCAGACACACTGGGGTTAAATTGTTAAATTGAGTTGAAAACGTAAAATGTTTCGCAAAGTTTTGGTAAGAAACTTTAGGAAAAAAAAGGTTTAGAAACATTTACTGAGCACTTGTTTCTAAAACTGCAATGTCAAACAAAAAACCAAGGTTTTTTTTGTAGAATTTATGCAGTCACATACAAGAAAATTATCGCAAATAACTTGTGAGATGTTGAGATGTGATAACCAACGAAGATATAAGAACAATTCCTTTCTAGCGAGATAGAAGCCAAACATCAAATCAACTTATAACACCTAACCAAGGAAGCTAAATTTGCCACATATGTTCCTACTGCTTTCTAACATCAAAGCACTGACCGCTTGGGTCAACTAAACAATTGTCGTCAGTGCGACAAATCTAACACAAGCATTTCAAATTGATGTATGTTGCTACTTACTTTGAAACAAATACAGCCACCGCCTGTACGCGAACGCTTCATTCGACTTTGGTTTTTTGCTCAGAACTACTGCTGAGAATTGAAACTCTTTGGTAATGTCGAGCCGATTCTTCGCGAAAAGCTGCCTGCGTAGGTTCCAAAACGTTGCCACATCCGGGTTAATCAAAATGGCACAGTTCAGGTACTTGATGATCGCATTGTTTCCAGTGCCGGACATCAGCAATGCTCCGGAGGTATTACCGACGATACTCGTCGAAGACGGTGTCACTCCTCCTGAAAGCTTAAAGCATTCGGCTTTGTGTCGAAGTAGCAGTCGATGGGCGTATTCGTAGATATACTTAACGCACCACGACTGCAGTCCTAGGTTGTGCTCGATGTGGATTACCGGAGATTTGTTCGTATTGGATGGCATCGGTATGACTTCGAATCCAGTTCTGGAAAAAAAACAGAATATTCGGTTCAATCCTGTATCTACATTAGGAAAATAAGTTACACAAATTAGAATAGTAACGGTAATCTGAGGAATAGCTCTGAAACAACTTTGAAGGCAACGAATCCAGATCGTGGGAATTAAAAGTAGGGCTGAAACCTCCACCAGAAATTATTTTACTATAATGTTTAAAATAAAAAAAAAAAAACCTTACCCAGGCAATGGATATCTATTAACTGTACAGTACAATACAGTAACATACTATTATCTTGGGTCAGATTTTTTAAGCAATATGCTAAGATAAAATAAATTTTTAATAAAATGATATGCAAAATTTACTAGAAGATCATTTGGTGAGAAGTTTCTAATAAGCCCTCCCAGTTCCTCTGTATACAGAACAAATCTGATACTCAGAATTGCTCAGTCTGCATGAAGCAGCCGATTTCATCAAGGAAGTTCTAATAACTACCAATAAATAATCGTTTGAGGCATACTGAAGCATTATGAAGGTGACATGTGTCACTATGGGACATCATCATCGTTGCAAATATAAAGAGATTAAACATAACCCTTTGCTTCAGTACCGTCAACTTCCATGCAAGGTTGCAAATACTCATTTCAGCTAAAACAATGTTTTTCGGAATAATAAAACCAAAAGATGGTATGATGACATGTTTTACTTGTAACTTACAAGAAGAGGTTACAAAGTATGCGTTTGAAACATAAAACCTGTAATTTTTGCTTTCTATGAGTCACAATCAGCGATTTGCTGATCGCTGAGTGAGTGAGTGAGTGAGTGAAAGTGTGTGAAAAATCGCTGATTGCGACTCTCATGAAGTGAAATAAACAAGTTTTATATGTCAAACACATTCTTCGCAACCCCTTCTTGTATCTTACCAATTCAAAATATGATCATAGCATCTAATTATTTCATTATTTAAAAAAAACATTGAGTAGAGCTGAAATGAGTATTTGCAACCTTGCCTCCATGTCCATGGGGAGGGAAGTTTTATTCTGAATCTTTTTCGAGGTTTAATAATTTTGTATAATTGTTTTTCAAGCATAGGAAAATGGCCAACCCTTCAAACTTCTGCAAGATTATAGAAAGAATTATTTTCTGCTCAAAATAATAGAATTTTATGAGTTTTTCGTTAAGGTGGCCATCTTACACCAAAATTAACACACTTAGAAAGGAATATTATTTTTATCAATAATTTAATTTTTCATTATGAACAATAACATGAAGTGAATTGTATTGTAAATAAAAACCATTTTTTTTTTTCATAATCGACAATTTAATTTACCAAAAGAAGAACGGGATATTCAGTTCTTGAAATACTGTGCCTCCCCGTTTTTGACAATATTTCCACGGTTTCTGGATATTTTTCATGGATTAAAAGTCATCTCTTGTCCCTAAAGAATGTTATCGTGAATCCACAAATTGAATTTAAAAGGAAGGCACAGCATTTGTTTTTTTATACTAAAGATTCATCTAACATAGGTTTGTCTAGTGTTTCGAATTCCATTTGCTGAAATGCCATTTTCCGGAAAGTAACATTTCTCAAATCGGTACATTACCCGAAATGCAATTTGCAGGAATATTCCATTTTTCGGAATATAGTTCAATATTTTGATAAAGAAAGAGTATTCCATATTTCCTTCTTCGAATATATCAATAAAGCAGGAAATAATACCTTCTTTATTTACCTTCAATGTATCAGTCTCCACTCATGCCCCAAATACAGCTCACTTTTGTAAAAAAGAACTATTCTTCGGATCAATTGCAATAGGTATATAAATGTGTACACATATAATTACACTTTAAAAACTTTTATCTTTCAGTGGTTATAATTACTATTACTGAAATAATATTTCATATTATGTCTTATTGCTGAGAAAAGGATTTTTTTCAGTTGCATGATCGACGAAAATGTCAGACGTCATGTGAGGTTTTGTTTTGCTTAAAGTGTTTCGCTGTGAGATCCTTATTTTCGCTACCACTTCGGAAACTTTAAGTGCACAAATATCAGCTTCCACGACACGTACTACAATGAAACTGTTACTCCACGCAGCGTTGCCAGTATTCCAAATTTATCTGGATTTTCCAGATTTTTAGTCGTCTTGCCAGATACACAGACAGACCACGTATATTTCCAGATGTTTTAAATATGTTCCAGATTTTCCCAGATTTTTTAAACGTGTTTCTTTAAAAATCAGTGCAATTCATTTAAACTCTAATAAAAAAATAAAAAGGCGTATTGTGAGTGCCACAAAGTATGGGTTCGATTCCCGCTTCAGCCGGTGCAAATTTTGGCAACCTGAAAATTTCCCTACTGGTCTACTGGGTGTGGTGTGTTGTCCGTTGTCTAGTGTTAAATATTCAGTCTGTGCAACGTCTGATTGAAGACGGTGTCAATTGTCTTGTCAACTCTGATGACAATTGCATGGAGATTTTGTCAATAAAGGAAATACAATCCAGAAGAGGAATCATAGGAAATTCTTATGATGAAACTTAAGGAGTATGTTGATACGAATCGTGAGAATAATTTCAATGGAATTCTGTCTAATGTTTCTATGGAGATTAGTTTTAATAAAATTTTAAGTGCGATTTCTGGGAGACTTTCAAAACCATTTTGGAAAAGTACTTGAGTACTTAGGTAATACTGTAAAGGATTTCAACACAATTATAACCTTACCTACAAAGCTCTTCAAAGGGATTTATCGGTTAAGTCTGAGAAGAGTGTGACGGTCATTCTGAAGAGGGTACCAAGTAAATTGTCAAGAATATTTTAAGAATTTCATAGAGAAAAATGGACACAAAATTGAGTAAATTATTGCCAGTTTGAGGGAGTTGTGGAATCGGAGAGTGATTTATAAGAGATTACAAGAGGTAATGCTAAGAACTCTTAAAATGTTGCTGGAAAAGTTTAGATATTTTCAAGATTATTTTAGGGAAGTATAAAAAAGAAATATGATGGAATTAGAGGATGATTCAAATTGAACTAAAGAATGGCGAAGATAATGATCTGAGACGCAGGAAAAATATAAATTCCGGAATTAAGAATCATTGCAAGATCCTGATACTTCAAAAAATAGTTATATAATGAAATTATTCTTTGGCATCAAATTATTCGTAATGGTCATGCGAATAGTGCAGTTACCCGTAGTTTAGAAAAACTGTGTGTGAGTTCCACGATGTTAGGCTTTGATTCCCACTTCAGCCCGGTGAATTTTGCTTCAAAATAAAATTGGCTACTGGTCTGCTGGGTGTTGTGTGTTGTATGATGTCAAGTATTAAACTGTAAAGCTGATCAAATTCCGAGAAATAAATATTAGAATTAATAAGAACTCACCGTGTCAATACTTTTTAATTTTTGGATGATTTTGGAAATGCTTACAAGTTATTTGCTTTATATAATTTATTTAAATATGTAATTTAGAAACCATTCTAGTACTTAAATAAATTCCAGATGATCATACTGACCTATTTTTACGGGAGATTGGCACATCACATTGATTTCAATAGCATTATGTTGAAAAGAGGTTTTTTTGGAGCATTCCAGATGTTTCCAGATTTCATATTTTACCTGGTCCAGATTTTCCTGAAAATGACCTGGCAACGCTGACTCCACGTTTGCTGCACTGCATACTAGACTGATGCAAAATTTGACTTTTTCGCTCCACAGTGTTTAAATGGTTTCAAATCGGGTCCTGATTAGCCTCCCAAAGTTACAATTCATTTGGTTAGAAAAAGACTTCGCACAAGCCATTTGATGTTTGCATGTAAATTACTATGGGAAATCTCAACTTTTTGTTTGTTGCCTTCTAGTCTTTTTCCATATTGAGCTGCGAAACAGTTCGATAGCCATTCTTATAGAAAATTTCTCAGCTACAACTTTGCTGAAGATCGTTTCTATGTAAAACGAGACAGCAAAAAGTTATACATTATTTAAGAGATTGGTAAACTTATGACAAGATCAAGCAGCTGCTCTGTAGGCAACACTGTATTTTGCAGTGTGACATAGTAGCCATGATATTTGTGTCCTATTTAACGCCCCAGAAACACCAATGTTGCCTGCTGAGCAGTTGATTGAACATGATCATAAGACATCAGCGCATTGAACCATTGATAACTTTCGATCCTTTGCATTTAATCGAAAAGTGGCCTTGAGCAAAGTTGTAGCTGGGAAAATTTCCTACAAGCACAGTTGAAAGTTTTTGAAGCAGACCGATATGGTGAATTATTAGATAGACATGAACAAAAATCTTGGTTTTACCATAGTAATTCCCATACAAATTTCAAATGGTTTGTGCCATCTCAGTTTCTCAGCAAATGGGTTCAAATTTTGAGAGGTTAGTCAGGATCCGATTTGGAATCTTTTAAGTATTGTGGAGTGAAAATTTCAAATTTTGCATCACTCTACTGCATACATGCAGTAGCAATTTCAGGAGAAAGGGGGCACTAATTTTCGTGATTTGTGTAATTGAAAATTCGACGGAAAACAAATGAAGGGGAAAAAAAAAGGTTAGGTTAGCTTTATTATCGAGACTTTCAGCCATAGGCTGGTTCATCTCTTCATTTAAGGCATGGTTTTTATCGATCACGCAGTTTGGCAATGTATCAGTGAGCGCTCAGCTTCCGAGCTGAACAGATGTATTTTTGTTACAGTTCTGTGGAAGTCGAACACAAGCTAATTACCAGTGCCAACTGTGTTTTTTTTTTTCTCTTTCTGCGCATCGCTGAGCCGTTACGTGTCGCTGCGCGTCCAAACGACTTCGCGATGGGCCGTCGAGAAAACACCTTTCGCATAGATTTTGCGAACGTGCCGAAGAAACCGGACAATGCCAAAGTTCACAAATTCTGTGCGACCATATTGGGTCTGAAGCAAGGTGAAGTGCTACGGATTCAGAACAGCAGAACCCTCGGAGTTTCTTTCGTGAAAGTCGTCGACCTAGCGTTGGCGCAACGAATCTGTGAGGAACATGACAACAAACACGAAATAA